TCTCCTTCAACAAAGCATTAGCAATGTTGAGAATTTCAGGTCTCTCAATAGCTGTGTCTGATGAGACACTGTTGAAGAGCCAGAGATCAGTAGGTGATCCCCATGAATCATTCTGCATTTTAACTGGGCAAATTAAACCTTCAATATAAAAAGTGCACTTTCAAGACTTCACTTCAGGTAGCCAGTGAATCCAAGTGTGTTCATAAGATGGTTTGCTAAAAAGGAAGGCATGTGCCTCTCGTTCCTTTTTCTCTGTGGATGTAGTTTTAAGGTTAACAGTCATCGTGGACCATGAGGCACCTTGGCAAGAAGATTCTAACACAGGAAAAAAGAGCTTGGACTGCCATGGAGCATTTCCTGCCTGTGCTGCTCACCCCTACAATACATTCATGAGAAAGGAATAAGCATGTATTTTGATTATGCTGTTGTAATTTCAGGTTTCATATCATTCACCCAGTCAACTCTGATTCTAACTTCTTATAAAACTAGATTAGTTATTTTCATGTACTTAAATGTATTACTAGATTTTTCTAAATTATTTCTTTTCATAGCAATGACATCAAATAGATTTTTAAGATTTGTTCTATGAAAAACTGGAGTTCTATCATACTCCAATATTCTCATCTTACCTCATTTCCATCCAGAAAAACTTGATCATCATGTGGTTCAAGTTTGAATTTTTTCTTAGTTTCCTTCTTTTTTGGAGTTCCTGGTGTTTCCTCCTATGAATAGACAGGTGAATAGAACAAAACGCTTCAGATGGCAAAAGCTATGACATTTATGAAGTGAAAAGTCCTATTTTCAACACTAATAAAAACCCTTAAGATCAGTGTTTACAAATAGTTCTGAGTTACCTCATGTGGATATAAAGCTTTATAAATGATTTTTACTTTTTCATTTACGTGTGTGCATGTTTTCCTGCATTTGTGCCTGGACCACGTGCATGCAGAGCTTTTAAGGTGGTCAGAAGATACCCTGGAACACGAGTCAACAGAGGTTATGGCCTCCATGTGGGGAAACTGATCCTGGTGCCATCTCCCCAGCCCCACAGTGATTTTTAAAGTTTTAATTTAACTCCAGGGAAGCTTACCTTTTTGGACTCCTCCTTTTCACCATCTTTTTTTTTCTCTTTTTCCTTTTTTGTCTTTTCTTCTTTTGTATTTTCTTTCTTGCTCTTTTTATCTTCTTCTTTCCCACTTTCAGATTTTCCTTTATCTTTTTCCTTTTTTATGTCTTTATCATACTTCATTTTCATTACTTTTAGAGCCCGATGAAAAAACTGTTTCTTTAAAAGCCTTGAGGGAAAGTGACAGTTCTAGTATTACAATTCCCATCAATTACAAAGATCCAAACTTTGTTAAAAAAAAAAAAAAGCAAAAATATCAAGACCCAAATAAAGTAAGCAGGGAAGACATGAACTTGCAACTCATAAAAGAAATTACAATCAGTAAGCCTATGGAAAAATACAGTGAATTATAATAAGCACAAAGAAGTATAAGGAATTTTACAAAGGAAAAAAGCCCAATAGCCAATCAGACTATGAAAAGCTGTCAAACTATCACTTGAACTAACATAAAGGACATTACTGCTTTGAGACTTATGACAGTCTCTAGATACACTGTCAGTAATTAAGACTAATTCTCACTTAATGTTATGTCTCTATTGCAACAGTAAAAATAATACCAAGGAAAATAGTTTATTTAAGAAATGTCTGGGGCTAGAGAGATAGCTCAGCAGTTGAGAACACTGGCTGTTCTTCCAGAGGCTCAGGATTCAATTCCCAGCAAGCACATGGCAGCTTACAACTGTTTGTAACTCCAATTCCAGGGGATCTGATGCCTTCACACCAATGCATATAAAATAAAAAGTTAAATAAATTATTTAAAAAAAAAGGGCTGGGTAGTTCACGCCTTTAATCCCAGCACTCAGAAGGCAGAGGCAGGTGGATCTCTGAGTTTGAGACCAGTCTGGTCTACAAAGCTACACAGAGAAACCATGTCTCAGAAAAAAGTCAACAGAGAACAATGTGTGTCTTTTCAGCTATTTTATGGAGGGTTATTTCTCAACATGTACTTCATTATTCAGTCAACCACTGTGATAAAGTATCTTCAAGTAAGTGATGATTAGTTACATATACTAAGACCTTTCTACACTTTGACAAGGATTCTCACAAGGATGATGGGGATGTCCTTCTGTATGCTGTGAATACATGTTTCTCTTACTGGATGATGAATAAAGCTGTTTCAGCCAATGGAAAGACAAGGTGTAGCCAGGCAGGAGGTATAGGCAGTGCTACCAGACTAGAATTATGGGGAGAGAGATGCAGAGAGTGAGATGCCATGTAGCTACCAGGAAGGTAGGATGCCTGGGCATTCTCCAATAAGCCAAGACCACATGAAGATACATAAATAGAAAAGGGTCAATAATTAAGAGAGAGCTAGCCAATAAAGAAGCCTGAGCTATCAGCCAAACAGTTTAAACTAATTTAAGCCTCTGTGTATTTATCTGGGACTGAATGGCAGTGGGACTGGGCAGCACAGAAACTTCAGTCCACATAAGAACAATGTAAACATTGTGCAGTATTTGAGGCAAAACACTGTATTCCTAGGTAGTTTCAAAGGCTGTTCCCATCATGTGGAATAGTCTTCCTCCAAAAAGGCATGAATTTTTAGCCGGGCGGTGGTGGCACACGCCTTTAATCCCAGCACTCGGGAGGCAGAGGCCAGGCTGGACCGATAGCCTCTGAAACAATACAGAAAAACCCTGTCTCGTAAAAACCAAAAAAAAAAAAAAAAAAAAAAAGGCATGAATTTTTGTTTCACTCTTACTTTTTTCAAGTTTTCTCTGAATTACAACCTAACTTGCTTAAAATACATAAGACCACCTCATCACCCTTCACTTCCTGCTATCTTGTCAACAGCACTTATCTACTCCTTACTGCATTATTTACTGGATGTTTGCTCCTTCTCTAGACTTAAACCACTAAAAAACCGATCTCATTCACTAGCTAATGAGTTCAGGAGCTTAGTTGATTCCATAGTAAGTCAATCCCATTGTTATTTAGGTTTTTTTCTACCATTATAATCCTATCTAAGAAACTATTTGGTTCTTCGCACTGCTAGTTATAAGCCATCTATTTAAATCTCATGTGCTAGTTTCAGAGTTCCTGATACTATTCTTCATGCTTGCCTTGGTAATACATTACGCAAATGCCACAGCACAATCTAGAAGCTATATCACTAACCCCTGTACCTAACGGTGACTATTCACCCTGCTACTTATGCCTCCTTGGTGTATAATCCAGCATGCTTGATATCCTTTGCTTAGTATATTTCCCCTCTCTGTCCAGATGCTTGTTTTGGTCATCACAATGTGACTTCTGGGGCATCTACATTGTTTCTTGCTTGACCGAGTTTCCATGTGCTGCCCAATTAATTCCAGCTCATGGGCATCCTCCATAGTGATGTAAGATTTCCTCATTTGGCCTATTCTTGTTCAGAAGCAGATATTTAGTATATAACTGTACAACTGCTCCATCTGCCCTCTCCATACATGCTAATTATATCTGCTTGGTAATGCATAAATAAAAATTTGAAATGAAACTTTAATGATGACTACTTATAAGTACAAAGGGGAATTCAATAATAGGCTAGTGAGTTACTTAAATGTGAAGAGGAATGTTCTTTAACTTCAGAATGTCTTGAAAAATTATTAAATATATTCTAATTTTGAATCAGAAATACATAATTTTAATGGGAAAACACCAAATTTTATTAGTTTATATTATAGATGCCCACATATAAAAACTTCTTCCCAAAATAGTAATGTGATTAACTATAAAGTAATATTACAGTAATTTAGAATTTTCTCTACATCATTAGTTTTTATCATCAGTTTTCTTAAATTTACCCCATGGAAAAAAATGTTCTCAATCATTTAAGGAAAAAACTATTTCCTCAATCATAGACCTTGCAACTTACAGGATGGCTGCTTCTGCTGCAGGTATGGCTGCTCACACCCAGCAAAGCCAAGCATGTAACCACAGCATAATAAAGGCACTTCACAACAAGCCCTCAGCTAACATCAGTTTAAATAGAGAGAAACTGAGAGTAATTCCACTAAAATCAGGACAAGACAAAGCTGTGCACTCTCTCCATATTCACTCAATATAGTACTTGAAGTTTTGGCCAGAGCAATAAGACAACTGAAGGAGATCAAGGAGATACAAACAGGAAGAGAAAAAAAAAATCAAAGGACCCTTATTAGCAGTTGATATGACAGTAAAAGTAAGTGACCCTAAAAATTCCATCATGGGAACTCTTACAGCTGATAAACATTTTCAGCAAAGTAGCTAGATACAAAATTAACTCAGAAAAATCAGTAGCCCTCTTATATACAAATGACAAATGGACCAACAAAGAAGTTGGGGAACAACACCTTTTACAACAGCCACAAATAATATAAACTATCTTGGGGTAACTCTAACCAAGCAAATGAAAGACTTGTATGATAAAAACTTTAAGACACTGAAGAAGATAGGAAGATCGCCCATGCTCATGGATCAGTAGATTAATGTAGTAAAATTGGCCATCCTACCAAAAGTAATCTTAAAATTCAATTGCCACCCCATCAAAACTCCAACACAATTCTTGAAAGAGATCTTGAGAGAAAAATTTTAAGTTTCATTGGAAACACAAAAAACCCAGGATAGTTAAAACAATCCTGAAGAAAAAAAAACAAGAAAAAAAAATTACTGGAGGTATCGCCATCCCTGACGTCAAACTGCACTATAAAACTATAGTAATGAAAACAGCATAGTATAGGCACAAAAACAGACATGTCAATCAATGGACTCAAACTGAAGACCCAGAAAAATCCACACACCTATGGATACTTGATTTTTGATAAAGAAGCCAGAAATACACAATGGGAAAATGTAAGCATCTTCAACAAATTGTTCTGGTCAAACTGGATGGTTTCATGTATAAGAATTCTAAACAGTGCTCGCTTTGGCAGCACATTTACTAAAACTGGAATGATACAAAGAAGATTAGCATGGTCCCTGGGCAAAGATTACTCGCAAATTTGTGAAGCATTCTTAAAAAAAAAAATCCCAAACAGACCCATACTACCACCACCTGCATAAATCTCAACTCCAAATGGATCAAAGATCTCAACCTAAGGCCACATACACTGAATCAGATAGAAGACACAGTGGGAAGAGCCTTGAACTTGCTGGCACAGAAGACTTTCTGAACAGGACATAGCACTGGTACTAAGAACAACTGTCAATAAATGGGACCTCAAGAAACTGAGAAGCTTGTGCACAGCATAGAACAATGTCATTTGGATAAAGGAGCAGCCTCCATAATGGGAAAAGATTTGTATCAACTATACATCCGATAGAGGGCTAATATTCAAAATATATACAGAACTCAAAAAACCAAATATCAAGAAACAACCTAATTAAAAAATAGGGTATAGATCTAAATAGAATTCTCAAAACAAGAAACCCAAATGGCTGAGAAGCACTTAAAAGAAAAGTTCAACACTCTTAGTTATTAGGAAAACGCAAATCAAAACTACTTTGAGACTTCATCTTACACCGAATATAATGGAAAAGATCAATAACACAAGTGATAGCTCATGCTGGCAAGGATGTGGAGCAAGGGGAACACACCTCCATTGCTGGTGGGAGTGCAAACTTGCACAGCCACTTGTTGAAATAAATCAGTGTGGCAGCTCATTGGGAAGATGGAACTCTATCTACCTCAAGATCTTGCCATAACACTCTTGGACATAACCCTAAATGTTTATGTTACTACAGAGACACTTGCTCAGTCATGTCTATTGCTGCTCTACAGCCAGAAATTATAAACAACCTAGATGTTCAGTAACAAATGAATGGATAAAGGACAATGTGGTACATTTACACAATGGACTATTACTCAACCACGAAGAAACAGTAAAATCACTCGAGGTTGGGGCTGCATACTTTTAACCCCAGCACTTGGGAGATCTCTGTGAGTTTGAGACCAGAGAACCACAGATACTAAGGTTAATGTGGGCTAGGGACCTGAGGGAAAGAGAATCATGCAGGGAAAGTGGTGAGTTAGCACCTCAGAAAGATCAGGTTAGAGAAGGGATGTGGCAAACCAACAAGAGTAAAGAGAACATTTAGATACTAGATTGTGGGTTGGTGACACAACACCTCACTGAAATTAGGTTAAAGGGTTTATGTACAAAGCATAGACCACACACCATAGGGACTGGAGAGATAACTTGGCAAGTAGAAGTACTTGCTAGAGGACGAGGGTTTGGTTCCTGGCACCCCTGTGGCAGCTCACAACCACCTGTAACTAGAGTTCCAGGGGAAGTCGACATTCATTTCTAGCCTCCACAGATACCAGGTACATACAGTACACAAACATGCAGCCAAACACTCATACATGTAAAATAAAAATAATTAAATGTTAAAAAAACACAATATTCCTAAAATACTAGCATACCATTTTTCACTCTGCCATTTCCCCTCAGACTCCACTTAGTTGCTTTAGAAATGAAATTGGACAAGTCTTACTGTGGTCATTGAGCAGGAACCCATGAGAACTATCATGGTGACGACTTTATGGTTTATCAGAGGTGGCGGATACCAACTTAGGTCAGTCCTTTATTTTACGGCAGAATGAACACAAACAACCAGACATGAGGAGGAAAAACTTACAGTTCAAAGTGAGTTTGTCTCTAGGACATTCTTCAAGTTTCAGGTCTCTTTTTTTTAAGGATACATATTTTTTATGTGTATGTTGAGTGTCTTACACTATGTAAGTACACTGTATGTGTGCACTTGGGTGTCCTCATACATCAGAAGAGATCCTCTGGAATTTATGTAACGGAGGGCTATGATCTGCCATGTGGGTGCTGGGAAACTGGGTTCCCTTTGCAAGAGCAGCAAGGGCTCTTAACCCCTAAGCCATTTCTTCAGCCTCAGTATCTTTTAAAACTTCATATAACAAGGTATTAAAGTTCCTAAAACACCACAATGAGTGAACTAAAACTGGCTGCTCTCCTGAGAGATTTAGGCTCACAGATTTATTATCCTTAGCAGGAACACTGGCAGGTGACACAGACTAACTTCTACTCCAATAAATGCACCATTAACTTATTGGAGGAGACATGGTCAAGGATGGAGAGCAGGGGATTTGACTGCTCCATTCAGCACTTCAGCCTATTCTGCTGTTATGACCTTGGGCAGGCTTTTAGCTTTGCTTTGTCCCAGTTCCTGCAGCTGCAGTATCTCTTAACTTTTTATATATAGCATGCACGCACACACACACACACACACACACACACACACACACTCACTCATGAAAGCGTGCGCACATACACTCCTTGAAAGCAGAGAGGGAAGCTTATATTTTGAAATTCTCATCAGACAAATTACTATACAAGATAGTAAATATAAACTGTATCATTGTTACTTCAGCACTAATCCCAAAATAAAACTTGTTTCTGAAATGCTTATTATTCATCTCTGGCCATTTGGCAACTAAGAACTTTAAGAAATATTTGATAGCCACTGCTGGGATAGAACAGTGGAAACACTGTCCGCTCTGAACATCCTGAAACTCAAATCCTATGTCACTTCCAGTGTAATCTTGGGAAACCAGGCAGTTAGGAGCCCCAGTAGCTCCATCATAAATTAGGCCTCTAAATAATATTTACTTATTAGGCAGTAGTAAAAATTTAATAGCAAAGAAATATTTGATAATTACTAACTTTAATTTATTTTGTATTTATTAACATATATTGTTTTTCACTGTGACATTTTCATGTACATAATGCATTTTGACCAAATTTACCCCCATTATCCACTCTTATTCCCCTCCCATTCCTGCAACTAACCCCCTTTTTCTGCACAGTCACTTTTCTGCTTTCCTGTCTTTTTGTGTGGTTGTGTCCCAGTATGTTAGAGAACTCAATCCTGTAAGTCTTGATGCTAATATGTGCTCAGAGGAGGTTTCAGGCTCACTTCCACTCTGGAGAAGGAAAACCTATGGCCATAGTCCTGGCTATGATGCCCTTTTGCGCTGAGCATCAAAAGAAGTCTCTTATCTTCTTGGCCCAAGGTAACTTTAGTGAACCCCTGTACTTCTGTTGTCTGCAAGATGAAGAAACAGGTCAAGGGTGTGCCACTGAGTAGTCCCTTGTACCACAATTGTCCTGAACTCTGAGGCCACATGTCTTCATTAGCTCCTGTAATCAGGAGGCTTAGTTGGGTCTTATACAGGTTCCCCCCTTGTCAGTCCGGAGTTAGTGATCTCCCACTATCTTGGGTCAGCTGTTTCTGTGGGTTTCCCCATCATGGTCTTGACCTCTTTGCTCATGTTATCTCTCCTCCCTCTCTTCAACTGGACTCTAGATGCTCTGCCCAGTGCTTAGCCGTGGAACTCTGCATCTGCTCCCATCAGTTACTGGATGAAGGTTTGGCAATTGTGGTAATCCTCGATCTGATTACAAGGGAAGGCCAGTTTAGGCACCCTTCTCCACTATTGCTTAGTTTTATCTGGGCTCATCTTGTGTATTCCAGGTAATTCCCTAGTGCCAGGCTTCTTGATAATCCCATCCTGTTCCCTCATGTTCTCCTCCCCACTCCCTTTCCACCCTCTCACACTACCAATTTACTCAGGAGAGCTTGTCTACTTCCCCTTCCTAGGAGGATCCATGTATGTCTCTCTTAGGATGCTCCTTGTTATCTAATTTCTCTGGGGTTGTGAACTATTAGTTTGGTTATCCTTTGCTTTATGCCTAATATCCACTTATTAGTTAGTACATACCATTTTTGTCTCTCTTGGTCTAGGTTACCTCACTCAGGATGATTTTTTTCTAGTTTCATCCATTTGCCTGCAAATTTCAAGATGTCATTGTTTTTTACCACTGAGTATTACGCCATTGTGTCAATGTACCACATTTTCTTTATCCATTCTTCAGTTGAGGGGCATCTAGATTGTTTCCAGGTTCTGGCTATTATGAATAATATTGCTATAAACAGAGTTGAGCAAATGTCCTTGTGGAATGAGCATGCATCCTTTCAGTATATGTCTAAAAGTGGAATTGCTGGGTCTAGAGGTAGATTGATTCCCAATTTTCTGAGAAACCACTATACTGATTTCCAAAATGGCTGTACAAGTTTGCATTCTTACCAGCAGTGGAGGAGTATTTCCCTTACTCTACAACCTCTTCAGCATAAGTTGTTATCAGTGTTTTTGATCTTAGCCATTCTGACAGGTTAAGATGGAGAGAAACTCAAAGCAATTCCACTAAAATCAGGAATAAGACATGGCTTTCCCTTTCTCCATATCTATTCAATATAGTACCCGTAGTTTTAGCTAGAGCCATAAGACAACAAAAGGAGATTAAGAGGATATAAACTGGAAAGGAAGAAGAAAACTCTTCCTATTTGCAGATGATATGATAGTATACATAAGTGACCCCAAAAACACTACACAGGAACCCCTACAACTAGTAAACACCTTCAGATACAAGATTAACCCAAAAAAATCAATAGCCCTCCTATATACAGATGATAAATGAGCGGAGAAAGAAATCAGAGAAACATCACCTTTCACAATAGCCACAAACCTGTATGAGAAGAACTTTAAGTCTTCGAAGAACGAAACTGAAGAGGAAGAGGATATCAGAAAATGGAAAAATCTCCCATGCTCTTGGATAGATAGGATTAACATAGTAAAAATAACAATCTTACCAAAAGCAATCTACAGATTCAACACAAGCCCCATCAAAATCCCAACATAATTCTTCACAGATCTCGAAAGAATACACAACTTCACATGGGGAAAAAAAAAAACAGGATAGCCAAACAATTCTGTATAATAAAGTAACTTCCGGAGGCATCAGCATCCCTGATTTTAAGCTCTATTATAGAGGTATAGTCCTGAAAAACAGTTTGGTACTGGCATAAAAACAGACAGGAGGACCAATGGGGTCAAACTGAAGACCCTGATATTAACCCACACACCTATGAACACCTGATTTTTGACAAAGAAGCTAAAATTATACAATAGAAAAAATAAAGCATCTTCATCA